TTAATAATGTATCAGTAATGTACAACTAAGACAAGTTAAGAACTTATGTAAATACATGTCTAAATAATAAAAAATCAGGAAAAATCGTAATATACCTCTGCGATGTAATAAGAAAGGGTAAAATTAGTTACGTACTAGTATGCATGTAGGAATTTTTTTTGTCTGAATAGACGTATTTTTATTAACACACACGTCAAAAGATTTTGACCATGAACTGATACTATGCAGCTAATTGTATGTAATTATAGCACATTAAATTTCACACAGACTTTGAATATTCTGGGCACAAAACCAGATAAGAACTAGTAATCTGTGCATATTTTGGTCTCTAAGCTATCCATTCCTTAATTTGTGAAACGGCGTAAAAGTCGCCCAACAATTTGTGAAGGGCTGGATATCCCCCGGTGGAATTTTACTTCGATTCATTAAGGTCGTAATAAAATGGGAAACACGATATCCATCCACACAGGTCATGCTTTCTCATTTTCCATTCTCTTGCTCGATTTTGTCAAACTTTCCCAGGTAAAATGGAATCATGGAACATAAACATTGGAGAGTTACCTAGACACTAAAGGTAAAGTAATTGTGTTTTACATGTGACAATTTATTATTTCTTAAAAAATATTTCATCATCAATTACATCTTTATTTCGAATCACAAATTCTTGTCTTTTCTTTCTAGTAAAAACTGCACTAATAATAATAATAATGGAAGATGAAGACAAAGGTGTGTAACTTTTATTAAATTTATAAAAAGTTAATCTCTCTTACAAATTTTACCCCACAGACTTTTTCGCAACTATGTTCGGTGTCGTGTTCTTTTTCTACATGGGCGTCATGTACTATGCCGTTGGATGTGTGCCAACAATATTGCCTGACTCACCAACAAGCGGAGAAGATAATAAGTGTGGTAGCTGCGAAAAAGGTACGTTTGCCAAAAAAAGAATTGTCACCTACATAAAAACCTACCTACCTTTCCCCCAAAAATGGGCAGATATCTAAAATAGCCAATAACACAGAAATGGCCAATCCATCCATCCATTTCATCTCTCTCGACGAGGTAATTGTCCGCCCAGCTAAAATTAGACATTATTATTATATATTAAGCTCTCTCTACGTCACCCTACCCATTTTTTCATGGGGATGGCAAGTGCCAATCTTTTTGTTTGGCACGCTGGGTGGGAAAGAAGAGTGAGAGTCGAATAAATAGTCAATGGCACTTTATCTCCCACCACCACCACCTCGTCGAAATAATGTCAAAAGTGAATGGCAATGTCCGTCAAAAATAGAAACACTTTTCCCCCCGACGTTCCAAATGCTGGCTGCTCTGCTTGTCTCCTTTCACTTTTCTTTTTTCGGCTTAGAAAAAAAAATCTCGGAGAAAGTAACAGCAGCAAAAAAAGCAGGAGAGTAAGTACAAGTGGCCACCACCACCAGTCAGCTTTTATTCATTCAGGAAGAAAAGGCTGTAAAAGTAAGCAAATATTTTAGCCTGGCTGTCATCCTCTCGTACATACATTCCGTATTATGTATATGGTGGCAAACAAGCGTCATTCACGCTCTCTCGACGTGGAACTGCTCGAAAGTTAAGAAGATTATGAAGCTTTTACGTCCAAAAACCAAGAGTCGTGTCAAAAAGGAGAAAGTGTGTGTGTGCCAAACTGAAGGAGTAAGTGGCTATTAGTGCGTAGCCTTCATTTCGCAATGGCTCCAACCTTCTCCTCGTCCTCCTAAAAGCTAATGAAAGTTAAACATTGCAAAGATAACTCGGCTCTCAGTCAGCGAGGCTTTGATCACATCCATTTCACACTCACACATACGTGCATAAAGCAAAATTATACGTAAAGCCGTAGGCAGGCATGGTCCTCTTTCGGGAGAAAGTTGTGCAAGAAAACGGTGTTAATTTTAATTTGGTCAAAACATTTAGGTCAAAAATTCATGGAATATAAAAAAGTAAACACATCTTTCTCTCTGCAAGGAAATGGGAAATGATGGTGATGGTGGTCCATTCTGGTGATTTATTTGTGCCGAGGTCCGTCTACCGTCCATCGGGCTTGGTCACAGGTGGACTTTCTCTCTCCTTTGAACCAGTTCTGATTTAGTTTTCCGTGGTGGTGGTGGTGGTCTTGGACAGCGGCTGAGTGGCTGTGACAAGAAAATCCCTGGTGAATTGTGACTTTCTCCTTTGTGAGGTGGGCGGTTCGTTAAATCTTGAAATGCTTAATTGGCAGTGAGAAAGGTCGACGGTCTCTGCCTTTTCCTGGGTCATGGCAAAGTTGTCCTCTGTTTCCTGGTCTCCTCTCTGGAAGCAAACTTTGTTTCAGGCAGAAAGCAGAGGTCTTCTTGTCTTAAAGGAGGAGATGACATAAGAAAGGGATTAAAATTTTATGGCTTGAACACATTCTTCCTCTCTTTCGGGAAATGACTAGGGTCCAGATTTCGCCTCGTCGTCCTCCTCCTCCTCCTGGTTTGTTAGTTAGCTAGCCTCCATATTATTTTCTTCAAAGTAGTTGAAGGTTGACTGAACAACGCACCCACGGGTCGTGAACCTCATAACGGAACGTTTCTATTTCCAGAGGTGGGCAAAATACGTGATTAAAAGAGAGGATTTTGAGTTCTGTCCTTCCCAGGGCAGGGCTTGGATTTTTGCACTCTTACACCCACAAAAGGACGAAAATGTATGTGGGGAAGACAGCAGTCTTACGAAAACGCAGGTTTTATAAATGAATGAATTAATTATTGCTGCCAAAATATATTATTTTCATGATTTTTTAAAAATAAAGTATTTTGATAACGATATAAAGTTAATTTCTTCACAAAACCTACATTTTTCGCACTACTATTATCTTCTCCATGCGGATTTCCGTCTTTCTGTGGGTGTAACCGGCCTTGGAAATCCAAACGAAAATCCAAAATCCAATCCTGGAAATCCAAAACGAAGCTCAAATGTTTTAAATATTTTGACAAAGTATTTTGCCCACCCCTGCCATTTCATAAGGGATTCGAGAAGATGGAATTAATTATTTGCGACATGTGCATGCGTGCAAGATAATATTGGATGATACATATAGTTTTCCACTCCTGAGAGAATTGGCCAACTTGTTTAATTGGATTTCTCACAGACTTGTAAACATGATCGCTCCTTTGCTTTGCTTTGCTTTGATTGTTTGAAAGATGTTATTCTTGCGTGTTGTGCTTGTTATCCCGTCGTCGTCTTAATTTGAGATGAGATTGATGACATCTCCATCCTGCCAACCATCCATGCCATCATCATCTCTCTACCCATCCTTCATTCCATAATATATCGGGATTAACCAACTGATCTGATTTCATGTCCAGGAACAAACAATCTCTCCATTTGTTACGTACCTAGCTACGTGTGCTCTCAACTTTGTTCTGCCTACTAATCTCCTCATCTGTCAGGATTACGATGTATAAATCCTTGCAAAATTTAATTTCTTCTCGTCTTACTTCCTCGTCCAGGGAGGAGAACGAGGACGAAAGAGAAAGTGAAAGTCGAGCTTGCTCTGCTAAATTGTTAATTAATTAATTAATGACATTTCTTGAATTAAAACAAAACCGATGCTCGTGTTGCTAGAAATTTTAATGAACGAATTTCTCTCATTCATTTATTTATTTATATCATTAATTGAATTCTAAAATTGACTTTTCATTCACGAGTTAAAAGCATCGACAACTTTATTTTATGCCATGTTAAATTAAATTGAGAAAAGGTTTCGTTTTTGCTTTATTACTTTCTTTTTGCCAAGTTTGGATTGGATTCAGGCCTTCATTCAGTCAGTTGTCGTTCGTTCGTTCGTGTCGGTTGGTTTGGTTGGTTCGAGTCCAACCAATGTAAAATGTTGGTTTGTTTTGAGACATGAGACATCTGCTCAATTTCCCAGATAATAAATAGGAAGAAGCCTGACTAGTTTCTTTTCAATTTGAAGAACAGATGCATCAAGAACGGAATGAATCTGCTTTGGAGTTTGGGGAGAAAAAGAAAGTATAAAAAAGTTGCCTTCGCTTTCTTTTCCCTGAGATTGCTTGGTTTCTTTTTTCTCTCGGAGAAGGCATGATTGAGGGGAAGAGTGATTTGTACTACATACCTGAGTAAGAGATACATTCATTGATCTATGTGTGCAGTGTCCGCGGAAGCTATAGAGGGGACAGAGGGACAATGTCCCCAAGGTTATTTGATGTCCCCATCATCTGTCCATGTTATGTAAACCCCGCCCTTCCCCTATCCTACAATGTTAATGTCCCCACGGCTTCCGCGGCCACTGTTTGTATGCATCCATTTGTGGACGCTATCCAGCTACATGTGGTTTGGTTTATGTACATTGTGGCCAAGTCATCCATGCACATGGACAATTTAGACATCAAATTATGTAAGGTTTTTCCACAGGCGTCATTTACATATACGCAGAATTTATCTAAAATTGTGACACTTTTTTGGTACGAAGACCAATTAAACGTATCATTTTTACAATGTCCAATTTCCACCGGATTCATTTATCTATACGCAGAATTTATCTAATAATGTGCCATTTTTTGACAGTTTTGATTAGTGCGAAGACCAATTAAACCGTTTAATTTAAACGTACCTTAAATTCAAGTCCCATTAAACCATTATTGCTGTTTACTCATTAAACTTTCAATGCGAGACTAAACAAAACAAAATGTACGCTACGCATGCATCGTATATGTATCACGTCTAAAAATGCACATTTAATTGTAATGATTTTTTACCCCTAAAGTATCCACTTCCGCTCAATTACCACAACCAAACCACCACTCCATTATGCGCTCTTCCTTCCTTCCTTTTTTCAGAACTCTCTAGACTGATCCGTAGCGTGTACCTAGTTTTTGTCATGATGATGATGAACCACTCTTATTCTACCGAAAATAAAGCTTTGTGCATACGTCAGACTTTTAAGTTTTTTTAGATCATGATGCCAGGAAATGATCCTTCATACTTTTGGTGAATACATGACAATTCATTGTTTCAATATCGTTTGTGACTTTGCGCTGTTCGTTTCGTTTGAGAATCCATAAAATTATTCGAGCAGTGCAGTCAGAAGCAACAGGTGTGAGCAAACTAATTTCATTTCATTTCGTGATGGAAAACTTTACAAAAGTATTTTTGGCATGGGGAATTTTGGCTGTTGTTGTCGCCCTGCAGGTGCGTTTTCAAAAGTTTGGAAAGATCGTCGATTATTTAAAATAGTTTGACGGCATCATCTAGACGAGTGGCAGCGGAAGCGCGGCAAAATGTCCCCACGATTATTCGGTGTCCTTATCATCTGCCCACGTTATCCTCCCTCCCCCATCCTCCAATGTTAATGTCCCCACGGCTTCCGCGGCCACTAATTTTTCCTAAAAAATCCTATTAATCACCACACTTTTCCAATTTCCCCAGGTGAGCAGCACACCTGCCCAGGAAGCTCTAGCAACTCCAATGACGGCAGCCGAGCCAGAACCCGAACCCGCGTCGTCCCAGCCACAAGGTCAAGGCACAAGCTGGTTTGACAACGCCGTCTCATCCGTCTCATCGGCTGCGAAAACTGCTGCAAAAAATTTGGAAGAGGCTGGCAAGAATTTCGCAAGTGTGGTCAGCAACAAGACAGAATCCGCCAGAAAGACGATATCCGAACAGATGGACACGGTGAAAAGTGTGGTCAGTGAGAAGACGGAGTCCGCCCGAAAAACGCTGTCCGAGGGGATGGAAAAAGTTAAGGATGCCGTGAGCGGTGCCGTGCAAAGCATTAAGAACGAAGTCCAACCAGCCTTGACCAATGCGACGACGACAATCACAGCGGACAACAATAACGCCACGGCAGCAGCAGCAGCAACTTAAAGAACGCTCCATTTGACCACACGACAAAAGCACAAATTATTTGTACATACATAAATACTTTTAATACGTTAAAAATCTAAATTCTAATCTAACGTAGATCTAAAACTTTTAATAAAAGAACTTGTTCCATGAAATTGGCATTGAAATGTTTCTCTCTTATTGGGAAACATGCAACATGAAACTACATAATTCAATTGTTAATTTATTTAACTCCTAATTTGACGCAATTCCGCTTTTGAGTATGAAACTGAACCCCAAAAAGTGTCACGCATGGTATGTTATAAAATTAGGGCCAATTTTGTTTTTCAGTTTATTCATCTTGCTCAAAGAGTTTGTTGAGACGAGCTTCAAAATCGGTAAAATGAAGATTGCTATTTTTCTCTTGTTTGCTTTAGTCGTGGCGTTCGCCAACCTGGACACGGTAAGTTAGTAATTCCTACGTTGTAAATAACAGTGTTTCGGGGGGAGTAGCCACTTACTAGAAATATCGGGAAGAAAGTGGTTTCGTGCGGATATCTTGACCTGCAAGAAATGCAAGGCGCAAGAAACTATGCCCCGTCGCTGTATTTCATACGGCGCGTGGCTGGATGGCGCATATTTCTTGCGCTTTATCCCAGTTTCTTGCACCTCGCATTTCTTGCGTTGTTTGCTTTGCAGTGCAAAAAATGTAACTCACTCACGAAACACTGCAAAATTGGGTGGTGTTTGAATTGTCTAAAATTTGACTCCTATCTAACAGACCAGTGCTCAAGGAGAGGGAACTGAAGCTCCGGCCACCGAAAAGTCTCCGAGCGGTACGAAGAAACCAGGAGGATTTATGAACAAGATTAAGAATGGCCTAAAGAAAGCTGCGGAAGGGATCAAGGAAGGGTTCAAGGAGGGGGCAGCAGGGATCCAGAAGGGGGCAGAAAAGTTAAAAAAGAAGGTCAAGGGTTGGATAAATGGCAAGAAAAACGGGACAACAACATCGTCATCTCAAGTTTCAGGCCCATAATTGCATCATTCTCAGAAAATGTTGCAAAATTTGCAAAATCAGTCTTGTAACGCACGAATTTAATAAATTGTCTTGTATCGCAGATGCTTCTAAAGTTAACAAAATGTTTATTTCGCATATGCGATCTATTTCCAGAGAGGTTGAACGGAACGGACGGACACGCTATGTTGTCAGTAGTTAGTTAGTTTCAAAGGTGGCTATTATTACACCGATCGCTCAGCAGTCTGTTGTGTGGTCAAAACGAAGGTCAAAAGGACACTCGTATTCACATGTACGGGGTTAAATGAAGGAAAAATTGGCATTTCAACAATTCCTCTCCATTGTCATTGTCATGTGAGGCCACAAAACTCATGATTTCGTTACGTTAATTCGACATCGCTCTAAAACCGTGCAACTACCTGTACAATACAGCATCCAGCAACTTTTCGGCATGTCAACGCATAAAACCAAATGAAATCGAAATCACAACCACGATTTACAACATATGTAAATGCACTTTTTTATACTTTAACGATAAATTTATCCATGCAAATATTTCGCAATCATAGCGATAGCACAAAGTTTTTGCATTACAATTATCCGATTTCCAGTAAAATTCATGTTTGCAAAAAACTTTCGAGTACAAAAAACTCTTCAATTTGCAACTTTAACCTCTGTTTGCATATTATACATACTCGACGACTGGACTGACTGACGACCAACATGAATACATATGTATTAACTCAACATATTATGCACACTGCAATAAATAGATTTGCAAACAATAATTATTATCCTTGATGACGCAGTTAACTATTGCTACCTAATTTTGCATAACCAGGTATACAATCCATACACATTGGACGAGACGCTGGTTAAATAATAACTTGTCACCTTTACCTCATATCTCACCTGCACTTTAAAAAATATTATATTTCGCACATGCATTGATCGTCCTTCTCGTCCAATCTCGCATACGAAATTTGTCTTATAAATAATGTATCTTCATCTAGTCAACTTTTTTTCAGAATTATATTCCCAAGAACATAAATGAATCAACCACCATTCTTCTTCTCACAATTGGGACAGTGATGAAGCCGAGACGTGTTTGGAATCGCATTAATTGTTGTTATTGATACTTTTTACGGCCAAAAAGTGAGTCATCCCCACCACATTAACACGGGATACATATCGCTAAAGTACAAGTATTCTAATGAGCTCCTCGTACTGAGATCTCTCACATATTTTTTTTACCGAGTCACACAATCGTAAAACATGATGGAAATTTGTCGTATAAAATTAGCGAATATGCACGAAATTTGCTCACTCAAAGACTCTTATCGTCGCGATGAAGTCATTCTCATATTTCTTGGGTGTCCTCTGCATGGGACGGGTTGTCCTCTCCGACACGGAATTTGATCTCCCCGTCGCCCGGATTTACCAGATTGAGGCCAACTCCTCCCGACTTCGACCGTGGAACCGGATAGACACCAATTTGGAGACGACGATTGAAAATGTGGAGAATCTGAGGCTCGACTGTACCGCGAGCTATCCGGTGCAGTGGTTTTACACGGGGGATGGAATCCCAGCCTACACCGTGGCGAATAAATACTCGAGAAATAACAATCGCGGCGAGACCACGTCCGAGTACATGTCCACGATTGTCATCAAACCGTTGAAGGAGTATCACACGGGAAGATATCAGTGCACTCCGGCCGAGTATATCGATACCAGGACGTTTTTCTATATTTATGTTCCCGGTAAGAGGAAGAATATAAATTCATGTTTTTTTGGCAGAAATTCAGAATTTTTAAAATTGGTAGAAATCACAGGGTCGAATTCTACACTAATCGACAAAAGCTCGATGCATATTTTACTTTGCATAAATTTTTGTACCTGATCGTGCAGAAAATTTCTGTGCATGTGCACAATCCTGGATAGTTTTCTGCATACAATTTTTCTGCGAAAAATCGTGCCAAATTTCTGCAGAAAATGATAAAAAATTTCAACTAAGTATGTATGAACATTACAGGTGAAAATCTCTTCACTTCGACGACCGGACGAAATATTATCCTGCCCAAGAATGACACCAAGATTCTCATCCCGTGCAAAGTTTCTCGTCCGGATGCCGACGTCAGTCTAGACAAATCGGAAGAGGTATGCAAAACAAATTCATGGACGTTATGAAAAAATTTTGAAACAGATTTTTTCAGGGAGCCCTTCAACGCGTCAAAGTAAAAACTCCGGATGCTATCAGTTACGACCCCAAGGCTGGATTTACCGTTGACATCAACAAAGTTGAGACCCCGGAGGGAACCTACGTTTGCACGGCGAGACATGGGTCGTACGTCCGCAGTGTAGAATACAGGGTGCTGTCATCCTTTGCTAATTACCAAGCTGGTACTTTTTTTCAGTAATCCGACCCACAAAAATCTAGTCAGTTATTTAACGATTCAATTTTTTCAGACGAGCCATCCAATTTTCAAAACAAGTGCAAAAAACCTTGCGGCGAAAACGCGTACTGTGATCTTGTCGATGGGGCAGAAGTGTGCCAATGTCTCCCCGACTTTCAAGGGGAACCAAACGTCAAATGCTCAATTAAATGTGAAGCCCATACCGATTGTCCTAAAACGATGTCATGTTTTGTCGACCGACAGTGCCGCAGTCCATGCGTCCACTCGGCGCATGGGTGCGGAATTAATGCCAAGTGCAAAGTTGAGGACCACCGACCCGTCTGTTACTGTCCGAAGGAGTGGGTGGGCGACGAAACGATTCAGTGTTTCAATTCTGTCCAAGGTAAATATAATTACAGATTTTCCGTGTACGCAGTGTTTCGTTTCTTGCGAGTAGTGTTGCCGGTGAGGTGAGGATAACTCACCTCAACTCACATGAGTTGTGAGTTTGAGGTGAGGTGAGTTGGGCCAATCCTCACCTCACTTGTAAATGAGTTAGCTCAGATTGTGGTGAGGTGAGGTGAGGTGAGTTGTGAGGCAACTCACGAGTTGAAGCGTGTGTAGTCAGCATATGGGTTGGGGTGGGTTGAGATCACCAAAACTCACAACTCACCTCACCTCACCTCACTTAAAGTGAGGATGAGGTGAGTTGAGGTGAGTTGTTCACAAGCCCAACTCACCTCACTTAAATATGAGGTGAGGTGAGTTGTTCAGAAAACTCGCCTCACCTCACCTCAACTCACCTCACTGGCAACACTACTTGCGAGTTTGCTAAATTTCTTGAACTGCAATGCAAGCGATAAAAGAAATGCGAGGTGCAAGAAATTGCAAGAAAGTGCACAAAATATGCGCCGCCCAGCCGTATGAAGTATAGCGCGGGGGGCCTAGTTTCTTGCGCCTTGCATTTCTTGCAGGTCAAAATAGCTACAAGAAACCACTTTATTCCCGTTATTTCTTGCAAGTGGTTACTCGCACCTGAAAATTGTTTTCCATCACGTAATCTTCAATATTTTTTTAAACATCAAATTTTTCCTATAAATCATATTCAGGCGCTGAACCTGGACAAAATAATTCTGATAAAGCAGAAAGTGCGACCACAACTCCATCCTCCACGCCTGCAGTGAAGTGCGGCAGTAATACCGACTGTCCCGACGACATGACCTGCATCAGAGTAAACGCTACCTCCACTTCCGGTAAGGAGTGCGTCGACCCGTGCAAATCGCGGAGGTGTGGGCGCAACGCGGAGTGTCGCGTTCAAGAAAGGAGATCTTCCTGCGAATGCTTGCCCGGTTTTTCGGGCGACGCCAGGATTCAATGTGAACCGGAAAGAAATCCTGAATCGGGAGAGCCCTAATTTAAAGGCATGAAAAAATGTGAATTTTGTAAAAATTATGGAAAAGTAAATGCTTAATTAAAACACCAATATCGGAATTTAATTATGAAGTGGGCCTAAAAAGTAAACAGATATTTCCATTCTCGTGGCATGCTTGGTGCGTAGTTATTTATTTAAAAAACTTATAATTAAGGAGTATATGCAAATTACATTTTTTAATCTAAAAATTTGCATGAAATGCTATTTTCATAATAATTTTTAAATACATTGACTAAATACATTGACTATAAATACATATGTAAGACAAAATTTGTTAAGAAATATCAGAAATTTTAGTCTTCTTTTTTCAATTGAAGTAATTATACTGACAATTTTTTTTGCAAAAACTGCAAGTGAATAATGCGACACAACATTTGCATAATTTTAATTACAATAAGTCCATGATTTGTTAAGCGCCATTCATAATTCAATTCGTTTCAATAATTTTGCACCACCAAACTTTCACCGTCACAATATGTAAATACTGAATTGATACGCTTTTTAGAAGACAAGGTTATCATGACCTTAACACAAATAATAAGCCATATGGTCCATTTTTAATGCATTATTTAATAGTCCTGCGACAGACGCACAAAAACATGTCCATTCTCAGCTATTTATCTTGTAACCAAATACATGAAAATCTTGCTAATGCATCCCTTATCAGAACTACATGGAAGATGATAACTCTAAAAACGACTTTCCCTCATGAGCAACGTAATAATTATGACGAACGACTGGAAAATTTCGACCAAAAGTTAGTCGTAGTTTGCTAATTGATAGAAATTCTACGCTTTTAATAACACCAATCCATCCTTCGATCGCTTTCGATCGCCATGCTGGTTAATTTCTTAACCTAATCATCCACCACTAATCGGCATGACCTACTGTAATAGTTGCAAGGAAACGGAAGATGGGAGTGGTGGTGGTGGGTGTGGAGAGGAAAATTGTTGTTGGGCGAGAGGACGTGCAGTCAAAAAGTTCAAGAGGCGTGTGCTGACTAAATACATTTTTGAGGTCATTTTCGACGTCGTCGTCAGTGTGCTGTCCGTCGTGACGGATATTATCTCGATCGGATTGTCCATCCAGGTATGTATGGCGAACGTAAGACTTGATGACTCATCGCCAAAATCAGCACATTTTTAATCGTTTCTCCGCTCTGGGAATTTATTTTGAAATTCTGGACGACAAATTTGTAGTTAGTCAATTAATAAAATGGCGATGCAGTTTCGATGAGTTCCAATTTTTCTGAAGGCTTCTTTAATTTGAGATCTTCAAAAACGGTCAAAATCTGGAGTGTATGTTTTTTTAAATTTGCAACTTGCTCTAAAAATTTGTCGTCCATAATTTTAAAATAAGTTCCCGGAACCGAGAAATGGTTACAAATGTGCCGATTTTGATGATTTTCGGCATGAGCTATCGAGCCCTACATACATAATACAAGAAGGGATTTTATGTTTTTAGAGTGATAAAATTTCGAAATGTCGATTTTAACGACGATAGCATGCGAAAAAATGTACGAATATATATATTTTATTTGAAGATTGACGATTCCTAACGGGCAAATATTTCTCATTTGAGATTCTGTATTTGTTAAAGTTGTAAATGCCTAACTTTTTGAGCCGATTCAAGGCTTATGGAACCGTTATGTCCATTCGTCCATCTGTCCCATCTACACGATAGATGACTTGAAATTTTCACCGTGTACGTTTTGGGCAAAGTTAAGAGGAAATAGTCAGCATTTCGAGCATTTTTTCATCTTAAATGATACATCTACTTGTAAATATGTAGAAGGGACGTTGGACGATCGCCGTCGTGACCGCGATTCCCGTCCTCCTCCCAACAATCATCTTCACGAACGTGTACCTCCAAGATGAAACACAAGGGTACTGCAAACTCCCGAAACCGCATCACCGGAAACCAGCAGCGGAACGGGTGAGTGAATGTGACGACAAGGAGAGCACCTTGGCCACGTCGACGACCGCGACGACGGCGCAAACGTCCAGCAGGGAGACGACGATGGAACAGTTTCATTCCAAGTTGGACTTCCATTGCGGCACGTGCCACATGCTTTGCGTGTCTTGTTCTGGATGTTGGGGGTAAATCAAGGAGAAATAATTAAGTATGTAATACAATTAGTTAATTATTGACCAATTTGCGTATCAGGGGCATGTTGAGATCCGTCTGCTACAAGGATCAAGCGAGTCGAGATAACGAGTCAAGAACGGTGAAAAGGTTGGGTGACATTTGAATTTTAAAGATTGCCAAATTTGTGTACTTTCAAATATTTTTTAAAACTCTAACCATTTTTTTGTCTTAAGGTCAATAAAACGCCTCTTGAAGTATATATTTGGCACATTTGTCCTCCGCTATATTTCTCTGGCCTGGTACGCGAAAGCCTTCATTTTTGGCGTGAGAGCCTACCGACAGCCCAAAAAGTATATGAAGATGGCTTTGTAAGTAAAATATTCAGAATTTTACATTCTAGTTTTACTCTGTATTCATATTTATTAAATACTGATTTATTAAGACCCAATACGCACTGGGGTTACGATCTCCTCGTGAAGTTGGACTTTCTCCAAGCTGCGCTGGAAAATGCTCCTCAGGTGTCAAAATAATTATCATCACGCCAATCAAATTTGCATTTCGAAATTACGTATGAAAGTGTTCTTTATGTTTTTTAGTGCATCGTCCAACTCTACGTTCTGCTCGTGTACTCGGATGAAAACCAAATATTGGGAATTATAACGCTGCTCTTTTCGTTTGTGGACTTTGTCCGAGTTTCTGTCAGTGTGCAGTGGGACATTCGGAAAGGTGGGAGCAATTAAGGACAGACTTTACATATTTCACAAGACTTGATCTCTGACTATTTTATCAGGCCCTGTAATTGCACCGAGTGGATGTTACAAAACCATTTGGTGGAAATTGATGAATATGTCGTCGTGGGTATTTTTATAGTATGTCCTTTCTTCCCCTAAAAATAGTATGCCCAGAGTTGAGTCGGTTATCCGATTATCGGATAAAGTATCAAAGAAAATTGATAAATGAAGAAGTTTAACGCCGATAGCGTGCGAAGCAATGTGTGAACATAAAATATTTTATTTGAAGATCCCATGCTCCTAAGATCCCTGATCACATTCGAGATTATTTATTTGTTGCAAATTCCTAACTTTTTAAGCCGAGTCAGAACTTATGGAACCGTTATGTCTGTCCGTTCGTTGGTCCGTCTCATTCTCATCTTCACGATAGAGACAAAACGGCAAAATTGCCTTGAGTTCACCATGTGCATGTTAGGCAAAGTTAAATAAAAGTCGAGTTAATAGTCAACATTCCGAGCATTTTTTCTGAACCGAGCTATTCGGAAACCGTTTGGAAATTTTTTTAGCCGAAAAATTCGGACTCGGTTCAGATTTATCAGAAAATATTCCCGACGGACTCAACTCTGGCTTGTATGCGAATTTGAGAAAATTTCTTAATATTTTTGGCGAATTTATTTTAGCATCGGTCGCAGTGCTGCGCTGGCGTTGGTCATCGCCACCGCGAAAAGCTGGTCCATAGCGATTCCTGTCATTTTCATGATCTTCCACTCTATCCTGTTCACCAAACTGTTTTCGAAGGAACGTTACGGTCTCGCTGCCCAGAAAATATTCGTCTCTGTTTTTATCTCCATCTTTTTCCTGCCCGAATTCGACACGCTGGAACTTCCCGTTCTCACCCAGCTCTACTATGCTGTGATACATATCGAAAACCTGTTTTTCATCGTGCCCTGGTACGATTAATTAATTAATTAAATCAATTTATGATTGATTAATTCAAAAAAATGTTCCAGGAACGGCATGAATTATGAGTATTGCTTAGGAAATTTTAATCTGGGCTCCGGTTTTCGTCCTGGTTTTGGTTCGAGACCAAAAAATGATTTAAATTCGACCCTGGAAATTGAGGTGAGAATGAAAAAAAATTAACAAGATATTTCCGTGTTTCCGGTGCAAATAACCATTTGCACGAAATAGCATGAAAAAAGTGGTTTCTTGCAGCTATTTTGACCTGCAAGATATGCAAGGCGCAGGAAACTACGCCCAGTCGCTATACTTTACTTAGCGCCTGGCTATACATATCGGTGCCATGCAGTTCATAGTCATTCTTTCATAGTCATTCTTTTCATAGTTTCGTTTTCATAGCAAAGGCTTTTCATAGTTTGTTTTTTCATAGTCGGCTTTTACATAGTATGTCTTTAAGGTACCACAAGAGAGTTGGCAAGGAATTTTACCACCCACTTTGATTGTAATTTTCTCAGAAACTATAGTAGGTGGGAATTTGGTTCAAATACAAATTTTGTAAAAAATACAGTACTCTAAATTTTGGTAAATGTCACCTTTTTCTGTTACTTATACTTATGTATTTATAGCCAAAATAGTCGAACATGATGAAATTTTTTTAAAACGTCCTAGCGTCAAAACCATTCTGAGCACAAATGTGCGACGACTCCCATATCGTGCGAAATAGTTTTACACGGGGAGCATAATGGGTCTCATTTCCATATTGTCTTCCATACTTTTCGAAATAGCATTTTCTATTTTTGATCCTTCTTTTATTTCATGTTTTCGAGGACAAAAATAGTTAAAATCTTATTTTCTGACACAAATGATCCCACAAACCGATTATACGCCCTGCAGAAACATATAATGATTCCAAATAACAGCCATTGTTACTTCAAAGTCCACCCCCTCGATCTCGGGGAGCTCTTAAAAATACCCCAATGCCCTTGTTGCTATACTGAGCCATACTTCATTGCTTGACTCAGGCAAATTACACAATTTTCTCAAAAAATCATGTTGCTAAGTCCAGAAAAAAATGAAATATTCAATCTCTTGTGGTACCTTAAATAGTCGTTACTTAAATAGTACAGTCTCTTTCATAGTGAATAACGTTAATAGTGATTTCACTACATAGTATTGATACCACTGTTACATAGTGTCCAATATGGATTGCGACATTGTTTTCTATGAATTATTTTTTAGAATTCTGGCTGTTGGTCGTAAAACAATATCCCTGGTCGTCATTTTAAATAATTTTTAAGCAGTTGCTAAGAAATTATTGCAGGACATGGGCGGTACTTTATATTTTTTTCATTGATGGTTTGTCAAATTGTTCTAAATATTATTGAGCGGACAAAGTATGATTAATCATGCATCCAACATGCAATAAGAAGCATTTTTAATACCAAGAAATAAACAACTGCAATTTTGATATAAGGATAACATAAGCGACTTAATGAAAAATAAGGTTCTGATAAAATTCCCTAAACTCCGGTGCAACGAGCTCCATCATGCTCATTAAATCGTCATATTTGGCTCTTGTAATTGGCAGAGGGGCAACGTATTTCCGGTTTAATTCCAAGTTTTGAATAGCGTTAGAGGTCCATACAGGTCGATTGACAATTCGTCCGCGGCCTCCTTGTCGTAAAATTTCCCAAGTGCCTAATGATCCTGGGTTGAAATTTGGCTTGCAAAGAATGAGATGAGGTGTGGCAGCATCCAAAATGTACCAAGAATACGAACTAATTTGCAAAGTATTAGGTCGCGGAATTAAAGCTAGCAAGGGTTCGAGGCTGATAAGGTCATTCTGATTCATTTCGCGAACAATAAATGGCGTTGATCCTGGAATTTTAGTAGATCGCAAAACATCGATCCATTGGGTTGGAACAATAACGATAGATTTTTTCTTTTCTTTTTCAATTAAGCCAAAAAGTTGATCACGAGGCAGGTATGAATGTCCAGTGACAAGAAATTTTTGTTCAATTCTGGAGAAAATCCGTCGTGCAATCAGCAATTGAAATAAACAGATCATCATAAAGTTGTTTGTCTGCCCTCTGCATCTATCTGACCAAAAGACGAGAGTTCTTTGTTGACCGTTCTCCAACTGATTATAGTTCTGTTCCACATAAAGAAGGAGACATGACGCTACTTCATCTGAACCACGATTCCCAATTGACTCGTTCCACACATACATTGCTCCGACACTAGTAGCTCCATTAAAAATGCAGTAATTATATGTGCTGAACTGTCGTTTATAGAACATTTCTCCGTGTGTGAGCGTTGGTGAAAACAAAACCTACACAGATTCATCATTATAAAAAGTTACCAGCGAGAAACTGATGTTGAAAATGATCTACCTGCTGCATGTCACCACAAAGGACAACGTAGGTCGGATCGTCACGAGCAGTTCTCATATCTTCGTCCATTGCATTTTTCGCCATTTCCCAAGTTGTGTGATGAATATGTTGCTCATCTTGTGCTAAAACTCGCAATCGTGCTGTTGCACTGTTACGGATCCTAACGTTCAGCAGGTCGCAGGTTTTACATGTGTCTGTCCTTGGCTCTCCTATAGTTAGCCCAGATCGCTTGAACACTCTTCGATAGATGGTCTCTTTCTTCTCAATATTAGGCACAGCAGGGTTTTCTTCAACAAAGAGTCTGAACATTCGATCCACATTTAGGTCAGGACTTAGATAAAACTGGCCTTGGCGAGCCCTACTGTAATGATTCTCTTGCTTTGGAAATGAATCGATATGCTCCTCAATTAAAGTTAACACATAATCTTCTGTAACTGGATGGTTTTCATGCCTCCCTCTCCCGTCAACTATGATAATTTGTCCTTGTTTGCTTTTGTTCTGCAGATTCTGTATTACGGAGTCTGTGACTTTGAACATGTCAATGAAAGTTTTCTTGCAAACTCGAATACGGGCTCCGTTAACGGGTAGAAAATAGCTAAACATTCCGAGATGCATAAATAAGTGATGGTCAATGAGATATTTGGTGTAGACGATTCTACAACTCACCTTAAGTTGTTCGAATTATTCACCATTTCTCGTTCTATCAAAGCAAGGAGAAAAGATCGCTGGGAGTTGTACGATCCCATAGAATAATACGTTCTAAAGAGTTTGATTTTCTCAGGTAGTGGAATCAAGCAGCCAGGATAGAAACACTCGGCATTGCAAGGCTTTCCCTAAATATTGCCATGATTAAAGTCGAGTATGATTAAAATATCGGAGGAATATTTTTTTGTACCACTGGAGCAATTTTCCCAGGTCATGGAGTGTTATTACGCGATATATAAGGTGCTCCACGCGCACGACGCTGTTTTGTGACTTGATCCTTCCATGTATCCGGACGAAATGCTCTTTTCCTCTCATTATTAGCATTAATGATCATCTTTTGAGACAATACAACCGCATTGACTTCTAATGGCTGCTGCATGTGGCCAGTAAATTTTAAACTGAGACAAAATTCTAAAATTACGGAGAAAATGTACGGTTTCTGCCTCTAAATTTGTCCCCACCAAAGGTCATTATTTACAAAAGTTGGAGAATTACGGGAAATTATTCCTCTAAACAATACACAATTTCTTAGCAACTGTTCAAAAATTCTTTAAAATTACGACCAGGGATATTGTTTTACGACCAACAGCCAGAATTATTATTTTCTAGAATTATTTTCTAGATTATTTTTTCCATGATAATATTCGAAAGAATCTTTGATATTCATGTACTACAGTAAAGCATATACTAAATAATTAGGCGTTTAGTGTGATGTCTCTCAGATTCTAAAGCCTAGGGTGATATTTTGATAACCACAACCACGCTCCCAGGCATGATTAAAGTAGATATAATAATTACACAACATACCAAAAGTTAAAATAACAAAATTTAAATAAGTCAGAAGATAAAACTTTATGGCAAATTTGAAATTGATATTTTGCATTTCATGTAAGATATGTATTGGCACTTGGGTTTTTGCCTTCCTCTGGAGTGATTTGAGCCAACCGTGAAAACGTTAATCTTCGAAATCAATAAAGAGTTATTAAACCTTTACAACATACGATGAAGATGCTTCGATTGGATCAAAAATGACCCGGAAGCCTCCTTTACTCTAAATTGTGCTCAATTAATGCCTTCGAAATTTTAAGGGGCTATGAAAGATTGTGACTAATTTAAACATATCCTATGTAACATTCCCACTAACTATGTAACATTTCCATTATGTAAAAAATTGACTATGTAGTGCATGACTATAAACACTGACAAATGACGATGTAAAAAACAACTATGAAACGCATGTACTATGAAACAAAAACTACGAAAAACATGACTATGAAACGCTCACTACGAACTGCAAGGCACTCTCGCACTTTCTTACAGTCTCTTACACCTCGCATTTCTTGCATCTCTTGCTTTGCAATGCAGGAAATGTAGCAAACCCGTAAAAAACGAAACACTGATATTTGCAAAAAAAATGCTAATTTGCTAATTCCCCTTTAGAATTCTACATCAGCGAAAGATATTGAGACGCACGCTACAGATGTCTCTGATCATTGCTTTATTGACCCCACAATAATTGGTACATATGATAATTTCGCAAATTTTAATAAATAATTCCACATTTTTATCACCATTGTGTTTCTTCCTCCAGTGATCGCCGTCCCCGTCTTGACAATGATCGGGATCGTCACGAGACTTGCTGCCTCCAGGAAAATGTCCGAATTTAAAAAGACGATTCCTCCACGCGACGACAAAATGCAGATGGAGGAGAGAATTGCAAATCTTTACAGCAAAAAGTGGAGCACCATGACTTTCAACGTTTTATTGAAATCCTTTCTGAAAATGCTGCGAAACGAAGTGATCCAACCTGATGAGACGCCGACGACGCCGTGTGACGACAATAATGCCACCACGGAAAAACCAGTCTTCATCATTTCGCCATCTTTCAATGAGCAGTTTACAGCTTCGCACTCCTTCCTGAGAGCAATGTCGTTTTTACCCGGGTTGTCGAAAGAGGGAGGCCCTCCCCCGCCGGAGGGGAGTGTGAAGACAAAGAGAAGCATGAGCGTGGACGCTTGTGGGATTTCTCAAAATCATGGCAGGACGAATTTGTACACGGAAAATTGGGTGGATCTTGGCAGAAATTATGCTCTTCCTGGTGGTGGTGGTGACCACTTGCTGGGAGTGAATCATGGCGACATTCGGAAAAGGTCAAAGTCACAGGATGACATTAATTTGGACAAAAATTTAAATCATCCTGATGGACGATTTACTAACAACGATTCGTCAGATATGACTTGGATGTAAAAATTTAAAATTATTAAAATTCATGCATAAATATTTATCGTGTTATAATGATAAAAATTTATTTATTTATTATTCAGTTAAAACTTTAAATTGTGTGGACTAAACGTAAAATATAAAAATTGACTCTTTTAATAAATATGAAGCTGTTAAGAAATTAACAAGACCTTAATTAACCGTAATATCCTCCCCCAAATCCGTTGTAGAGCCCTCGGCCATAATATCCCGCATAATACGGCCAGCCACCACCCCAACCTTAGAATAGAAAATTACCTTACAATGGAGGCGCAAACCATGTTCAACCCAGATAATTTTTTGACCTAATTAGTTTGAAAGAGCAAGTCTTTACAAACAACATTTGGTTCGGCACTTGGGCAGATGCGCAAATTTCAGCACGTTATGGGCGCCACAAGTTCGCAAAAACGCATGATTTTTCAGGCAATGACCAGCGCGAGCTCAACTTCGTGCGTTTTTGCAAACTTGTGGCGCCCATAACGTGCTGAAATTTGCGCATCTGCCCAAGTGCCGAACCAAATGTTGTTTGTAAAGACTTGCTCTTTCAAACTAATAGGGTCAAAAAATTATCTGGGCTGAACATGGTTTGCGTCTCCATTGTCAGTAAAATATTTTGAAATTTAAAAAATAAAATAATAGATACATGGGGCAGCCATGGACATATAACTTATAACTTATAATTATGACGTATGACTTATTTTATAAGTTATAAGTCATAGAAACACCATAAGCCGACGTATATTTATAATTATAAGTTAAGTTATACGTCATAATTTTAAGTTATAAGTTATATGTCCATGGCTGCCCCATGTATCTAATAACGTGACTCGACTTTTTAGTAACTTGCGCCAATGTTAATGTTTAACGATGGCGTAAGTTACAAAGGAGTGAGGTATAATTATGATTATATTTACCCCCATTGCCCCTGAATCCATACCCACCACCAAAGTTATTGTTCCACCCATTTCCATAATAACCCCCACCACCTCCTCCTGCATAGCCATCGATTCCTAGACCACCATACCCGAAGCCAAACGTGCTCTCAGCCTTTAAATCTTTAAGATTTCCACCCATAACTGGTCTCGTCGTGACTAGAAGTCCAATAAAAATTGCGAAAGATATCTGCAAAAAGAAAAAGAATTACTTTTATGCGACAATATATTTGACAACTTTGATAACAATGATAACTTACCAAAATTTTGTTCATTGTGAAGCCGTATTAAAAATTCGGATGTTAAACAGTTCGAAACCGTAATGCGACTGATTTCATCGCGGACACACTTTTTATAGTGGTCAATAATGCAATTGCCTTGTGTTTAGGAAATTTAGTTACATACACGATTACAGAACCAATAATTGATCAACAAGAGATCAGCATGACACCACAAAATTCTTGATGCGGGGTCAACTAACTAGTCGACTGTCATTATTTATTTATTATATGTAAAGTAATAAATGAAAAGGGAAGTGAATTAATTCCGTTACATTGAAAAACAAATTTTTACAGAAAAGTTAGTCATGAAAAAAATGAGGTTGCATTTTTACTGAGAAGGTTGCACTCCAATTAACTGTTTGTTAAATTTTTGGAATTATAAAATGTATTAGATTTATTCGTACTTGTAATCGTGCGTCAAAAAGTGGGAACTAACTGCATAAAATGTCAATTCGTTTATTAATTTTGTGTGAATTTTCAAAATTATAGTTTCGTTCGTTTGAAGTATTTCCTTTATTTCTCGTTACCTCTGCCGTTTCCGGTGAGAATCATTATGTCATTTTGTGCGTTTAATTTTATTCTATTATTAATTTGTTTGTGATGATGGGACATTTGACCTCTCGTACTTCCTGTTTTTGTACCATGTGCATATTTACGTATGTAAATAATAAGTACGTACCAACCACACAATCAAAATCTTGACAGTGATTGCGTCCATTTAAATGAGGTTAAGGATTAAACGATTTACGGAATTTATTATATTGACTCATCAAATTAATAATAATTTAAATTTAAACTCGGTTCTTTAACCTTGCAAATTTTTTAAAAATTCTTAAATGGAAATCATGAATTGCAAAAAAAATAATGCGCATACTTCAATTTTTTCTTTTTTAGTAGCTTTATTTTATTTTTAATATAATTCAACTGGTCTTAAAAACAAATTATGTATTTCCAAATTGGAAAAAAGCTGTTGCGCGGAGGTTAACATTAATCCTTTCCTGGTACATACATACATAATTATGCAAATTACAAGTGTTAAAGCTTGTGTCATGTTTATATACATATTAAATATTATTAATTACACTAGAATTTACGGTTATCTTTCCTTTAACATATAAATTAATTAATGAATAAACTAATTATCCAGTAAATACGGACCGATGAGATTCCTCCCCATTAAATTTAATAATACAACGGATCATCCATTCATAAATATTTTATACAAAAGTTTTGAAAAATGCGAAAGTTTCCGAGTTTACAACTGTTTCATTGGGAGTAAAGTTAGTTACAGAACTGAAACAGATGCATAAATGTCAAATACTGTAAAGTCTTCATTATTTCATAACCAACAACCAACAGAAATGTCAGTGCGTGCGTTAACGTGAACATTTAGTTAAATTTCAGTCAGTCCAGTGAGTGGGGATGATTACCAAATAAATTAAATTATTTACTTAACTGCGTGCGTCCGCCTCCTAAAACTATTAAACTTAAGTAGCACTTCCTGATTAATCCGATCCACATAAATTAGTCCCCTTAATTACATAATCATGTAGGACAATGATCCACCAGAAGTAAGAAATCTGGCAGATGATTGGCTGGCTTTTCTTCTACATACACACGCACAATTAATCCATTCAGCTAATTTAATTAATATGAGAATAGCACACACTTGTTGATAGAATACATACGTATGACTATTAATGAACAGTCGGGTCAATTAGTTATACACAATAGATACATACATAAGTTAAGTTATGTTATGCATACATAAGTAGCAGGTTCAAGACACCATTTAAATACGAAATTTTGTGTTCTTCTTGTATTTTTTATACTAATTATAATTCGACATTATCCGTTTTTTGACATTGGGGCGAAATTTTGGGCATGCTTTTGTTTGGTATATAAAAAAACCTCTATCACATATCGTCAAACCCTTGTCCGCATATTTTTCGTATGGTATTTTTTTAACGTAATAACAAAGTGCATGATTACAAGTAAAGTAGATTCGAATGCTTCTCTATAAAGTCATCAATCAATTATGTATCCAGTTAAATATTTGACTAATATTTACAAAACTCACTACGTTATAAAGTTTTACAAGAAATACAAACGGTTCAAATGGTTGCTGCACTCGTCACCCCTTAATCATTACAAATTAAGCATCATACATATATAATTAAATATTAAATATTTACATACATTTATATGAAATCTTGTCCTAAACTCGGTTTATAAATATACAATCCACAGTAATATTCGGTCGATTTAAGAATGAGAATGGCGGAGAGAGAGGAGGAATCAGAAAACTATGCAGAGTTACTCTCCTCCCGAATTTTTATGATTATTTTTTGGATAACTTTCTTTTTCCTATTTATTTATTTTTACATACATATTTAGAATCAATCTTATAATTACTTTTGGTCAATGCGGTGGAGGATTCATCTCAGAACGGTGGAGCTGGGTCTGTTTGAAGGTGACGACGAGACTAGGAAAAAGTTGGAAACTGTGACGAGTATCACGGATGATAATACACCGATGGAGATTAAGAGATCACAGGATTTTGGGAAGGATGCTGACGCACCGGTCACTGCTTCGGCGCATTGGCCTGAAAAATGTCAGAAAGAAAAATTAGTATTATGTAAAAATGATAATTATGTATTAAAGTATGCACGTGTTTAGTTAATTTACCGTCGACAGTGAGGTTGAAGGCCCAAACTCCAGCCTCCACGCCCGGACTGACATTTCGACGACAGGTCTCACTGCTACTCGAGACTCGGAGACCTTCATCAGCCTCTGAATAAATGAAGCAGTAGCGACGGGCGGATGTTGAAGAGCGGCTCAGCGGTGACGCAATCAAGTACCCCGTCCCGTTCTCTTCCCAACTTCCGTGGCACTCGTCTACATTTTTCATTAAAAATTGATCAGTTAAAATTTACTCAGGAAGGAGTATCGTCGAATTATTTTAACACAACTTTTGAACCCACAGTACAGCTTTATTTATCCCGAGTCAGGTTGTTCTTAATAATTGAGGTGGATATAATACCACTACGACTTTAGCATTTTTTCACACATTTTGCTCATCTCCCAATTTGAATCATAATTTTGCATGTTCTACGTGTGCCAAAAGTCTCAAGTCGATTGGACAAATTTTACTTCCATAATCGATAGATAGGCCGCCAGACAGATAACCATGACGGGTACACAAGCCCTGACTCGGGCTAAAAACTGTCCCACTGCAAACTAAACAAGTATTTCAACTTACACGACGTGATGGGATCTTGTCGATCACATTTCGAATGAAACTCCATCGTGGCTCTGTTTCCACAGCCGACAACGACGCTGTGGAAGGCCCCTTGACCTCCCGAAGGACCACACGAGTCTCGAACCACCCTCCGCGTATCAGGAGATCCTCCGGCTGCCATGTACTTGCCCAAACTATCGATAATCGTAAAATTGTAAAATTAAAATTATGACTTATTGTAAAATGGGGCTATAACGATTCTCATTTGATCACATCGACTTAATAGAATATAGATATGTCTCCTTGTTCTTGTTTCATGACTTCTCATATGACCCGGCTTATACAACCTGCTGTGAACTCGTCATGCATTCATCCCCATCATCATTCTATAATACCTGTCCAGTCACTCTTCCGAAACAAAAAAGAAACTCCCTCTCCCTGTCCACAATTTATTAACTTATTACGGAACTTTTAACTATTTTTTAAATTCGCAATTTGTGGAATCAGTGCTAGTGTCAAAATGTCGGGTCTGTTCTCCAAGTTTCAAAAGGAACTGAGGTGAGTAGTTTTATTATATATTTACTAATGTGTTTGTCTGTTTAATAAATTGTGATGTTTATATTTTAAAACTTAATTATATATCATTAATTAATTGTTTTACAGTGAGATACCAGTATTACATTGTAAGTGGGCCCCTGAATGCAAAAGGAAGTTTACGTTGAAATTCTTGCTGGAGAACCATGAGAAACTTTGTCCTCATGAAAAAATCACGCCAATTCCACAAGCCACACCCTCCTCCACAACTATGGCTGATACTACACCCACCGTGTTCATGACTCCGTCACCCACACCCACCGTATTCATGCCCCTGTCACCCACACCCACCGTGTTCATGACCCCGCCACCCACACCCGCATCAAATATGTATGTATATAAGACGCATTTATTAATTATGTATGTATAGTGATTATTATGAACATGTTCTCATTTAGCAAAATTGGTCAGAAAAGAAGGTCTGTTCCTTCTGGTGCTCCAGCTAAGTATGTACATATGTAAAGTGTTATTAAGCATGTACCAAATGTTATGTCTAATTATTATAGGAAGTTCCTGTGCAAAAACTATAGCGTTTGTCACAAATCCTACGAAACGAAAGACAGCAAGAGCAGACATGAACGATTGTGTGGACTATCGGAACAGGATAAGCAAACCTTTCTTAAAGCAAAGTGAGTGAATTAGTAAGAATAATAATATATGAAATGTGAATTATTATGATGAGCAATTTTAGGTTTGGAAACGACCCTAGACATGTCTGTATCGGATGTGGAAAGGTTTTTGTACAGACGATAGAAAAAAGTCAACATGAGGATGGATGTGCCTTCAATGAGGAACAATTACGGATAAAGTAATACCATATACAACCATACATGAGTTTATTTTTCATAGTTTTTACTAATATTTAGATATGTTGATGATCCAACTCACTTTTGTTCAAACTGTGATCGCTTTTTCGTGGACCCAGGCAACTGTCAGAAGCACGAAAGAAGTTGTGGCGTCACAATGGAGGAAATGATGATAAGGTATGCTTATTATTAGTCGTGTTATATATAATGAGATAAAATAACGCAATTTGTAGAATGTCTGATGATCCAACCCACTTTTGCTCGAAATGTGACCTTTTCTTCGTGCAGGCGCAGAACTGTCAGGTGCACGAAAGCCGTTGTGGCGTTACAAAGGAGGAAATGATGATAAGGTATATATATATCACTAGAAAATTTATGTATCCTTTCATCATTTATAATTTACAATTAATGTCTATAGACATGCCAATGACCCCAGTCACTGGTGCGAAGAGTGCGGTCATAAATTTTTTTCTCGACCTGAAAAACTCATGCGCCATAGACTGCAATATCACACACAAATTGATGTCATGCAAATGTAAGTTACATATTTTGAATGTATCATATTATTTTCATACCCATCCGTTCCTTATTACATTTACATATTGTAGGACGCCTGAACAAATGAAATATGTCCACCCCCTGAATTATGACAAAACTGCAATCGGAGAGGAGGCAACTCTTGACCCAAGTCATGATGATTTTGATGCACTCATCAAAAGAAAACTCGAGTGGGCCGACACTTTCGCTGCTGCAAGTAGGGAGGAGAATTTTGTGTATCGAGCTGGAATTTTAGGTCACTCTTTCTCAGCGACAAATTCCTCCTACGCTACCTTCATCTCCGCACATCCGGATCAAATGGGGGTATATTCCGGTGTAAAACAAAAACACCTTGGAGTTGACATTCAAAGCTGGCACAAGAAGAAGCCACAAGACTCAAAACCAGGTCAAGCGGCGCTAAGGGGTCAAGAGGTTGTGTTTCTCGGACAGACCGGTTTCGAAGGGGAGGAAAGTGCGATGCAAGCACGGAAGCAAGAAGCCCTCGAAATAGTACGTATTTTTTAATTATTGACTTTCTTTACACGTACACATGATTTTTAGTATGTACATATGTTCATATCCATAATAATAAAGCGTTAGTGTTAAGTCGCTGGCTGGCTGGCTGGCTGTGGCTAATAATCAGAGTCCGGTTACATATGTTTTTATGGATCCCTACTCATGTAGCTCAACACGAGTAGGGTAGGATAAAAACATATCCGCAGTCTACTCCATTCCATATTCCTTTCCTACTGCCTGCTCCCTCTTCCGCATGCTCAATCAAATATTGGTTGCGAGGCAAGAGTGTTTTTTTAGATTACCATCAGAACGACACACAACAATCGTTCCTTCGCATTTTTAGTGGTTCAAGGTAGAAATATAAACTTATTGTTCTTATTTGGCAATGTACGGAAGAGGAGGACAAGACAAAAGGGGTGGTGCGCGCGGGGGAGGAGGATGGACAACGCGGTTCGATGGTCAAATAAAGGTGACTGGAACAGATCGATTCTGTACGTCGTGTGGGTATGTCATTAAGGGACTTGCAACTACAATGCTAGGTAAGACATTTTTTTAAATTGTGTAAATTATTTATCGAAATAATATTTAAGTGATGATTTTTTTTATTTTCAGCCAAATGTCCAATAACTATCTGCGGTGCCAAAATTCCCATGCGATTTGGACCTGATGAAAGCGAGTTCGATATGAACGGATGGGGGCGTTGCAGGAACTGCAAGTCTTTCATCTTTCGTAAGGCTAATTTGATTGCTATTTTGATTGACTTTTTAGTAAATTAGCATTACAAAATATTTTGATTTAAACTCACATGCAGGGGATCATATTTATTGCCAATCGTGCCGATGTGTGAATCAGGCGGCCAAAGAAAATCAGGACTTAATCGTAAAGCAAGCACTGGCGAAAAGATTGCATGCCCAGAAGAAAGAAAACGAAGAAAAAGATTCGAAGATTGCCCGGTTGGAGGCTGACTATCTGGAATTAAGCTTAATTTTAAGCAAGAAAAATGCCGAGAGGAATTCAAAAGGGGCGGATAATTTCAAGCAAAGCGGAATTGTTGGTGAGTTACATGCCCGTCACTTTGTAAAATATAAGATTCTTAATTTTTCATGTTGTGAGATGGAATAACGTTGATTTTCGTTTTAGATACTCATGGGGATTTTGTCGAGAAAACTGCGACAGAGGAAAGTTCAGAGGTTGATGGCGATAAACCGAACAATGAGGACAATGAGGACAAGCAGGATTAATCTTTCACAAATGTCTTAAACTTGGGTGTGATTCATATCTGTAAATTGTTAATTGCGGGAAATATGATCAACTCAATAAACCATTATTTGGCTGAAAATTTAATTGTTATGCACCGCAGCGGCGGAAAATTAAATTGTACTGACCATTACTTTTGAGCACACCCGTACCCGTGAGAGGCTAGAACCTGCCCTTCGACAGACTTTGCTTTACGCCGCAATATTTCTATCGATCAGTCGGATCTGATGAACAGACCGACAACACACATTTCTCCCCAAAATCCTCCAAGTTTCACGCCCACCTCCTCCTCCCACTTAAACCACCCAACTAAATATTATACGTACACATTGTACATTCATATTACACACATATTACACACATATTACACACACATATTACACACATAAATACAATTACATATTACATGCATGTATACATAAATACACATATTTACATATTCTATATACAATACCACAATATAGAAACACATTATCCTTCGGGGTAATACGCGGATAAAGGCCAAAGTGCCGTATTAAAGGCCAAAGTGCCGTATGAAAGGCCAAAGTGCCGTATTAAAGGCCAAAGTGCCGTATTAAAGGCCAAAGTGCCGTATTAAGGGTCAAAGTGCCGTATTAAAAGCCAAAGTGCCGTATTAAAGGCCAAAGCGCGTGATAGGGTGCCGCCATAAATTTTAGCCTATCGTAATAAGTAACAGGGTGCCGAAATAAGTAATAAGGTAACGCAAATAATTGCAGCGTGCATTAATAAATTGCAGAGAACCGCTACAAATTATACCTAGCGAAATAATGTCACCAAAAAGACAAAAACCCGGAGAGGAAAGTGCTGAGGCAAAAAGACGGTATGTTGCAAACAAGCGCCAGCGTCGTGCCAACCTTTCTGCCGAACAGCTTTCAATTGAACGAGCAAGGAACGCAGCAAACGAACGAAATCGAGTTGCAAATCTCTCTGAGGAACAGCGGTCTATTGAACGAGCAAGGAATACAGCAAATGAACGAAATCGAGTTGCAAATCTCTCTGAAGAACAGCTGTCTGTTGAACGAGCAAGGAATACAGCAAATGAACGAAATCGAGTTGCAAATCTCTCTGAAGAACAGCTGTCTATTGAACGAGCAAGGAATACAGCAAATGAACGAAATCGAGTGGCAAATCTTTCTGAAGAACAGCGTTCCCTGGAACGAACAAGAAATGCAGAAAATGAACGAAACCGAGTTGCCAGTCTCTCGGAAGATCAACGTTCCCTTGAACTGCAACGGAACGCAAAGAACAAAAGAAAAAGAATTGCAAATATGCCAACCTCTCAACTCCCTGGCCAAAGACGTGCAAATGTAGCAGCAGCGACAACCTCAAGAGCCGCGACAAGGCTTATAACTTTAAATCAGACCACCCATGCGGCATCGATAAATAGATTCAATGAGACCGACATACAGCTGCATAACTGCGGCGAATTTAATATTTTATGCTCTTTTTGTGGGGCAAAACATTTTTTAAAGGAACGACCACAAGACAAAAAATTTACACAATGCTGTCAGAAGGGGAAGGTTGTTCTTCCTCCCATTAAATTAGCTCCGCCCATAGAAAAATTAATGAAAAAAGAGCATGAATATTATAATAATTTTTTTGAGAACATTCGCTCAATTAACAGCGCCTTGGCTTTTGCATCAATGGGGGCAAATATCTCCCCACCGCCTGGATATGGACCTTATTGTTTTCGAATTAATGGTCAAATCTACCACAGAACTGGATCTCTTCATCCAACAAACGGGGGCCAAAGAAAATTTGCCCAACTTTATATTCTTGACCCCGGTGAGGCATGTGATCAGAGAATGATGATCCGGGAGAATGCACATTGCAATGTAGAAATTATGCGCGAGTTGAGTTCATTCATGGCTCAAAATAATCCTTTCGCTAAAGCGTTTAAAATGCTTCATGAGGTTGAAAAAGAATGCTTAGCAGAAGCTATTCTTCATGGAGTAGAACCAGCAACAGTATCTATGGCAATTGTTCAAGATCGCAATTCTGACCAAAGACGCTATAATGCACCACGAGTAAATGAAGTTGCAATAATTTTCCAAAATGCTGATGGTGAACCTCCACTTGAAAGAGACATTCTCATCCATTGTAGACCAAATGAAAACGATTCAAATCCTAAGAGGACGGAAAGAATTAGTATTTTGGATCCCAATTTGGAACCAATGGTATATCCGCTGTTATTTCCACATGGAGATCAAAGTTGGGGAATTGACCTTAAACTAAATCGGCCTCCATCATTGGCAAATTTGAGTAGAGCTACTGCTAATCCAAGAACAAGGATTACTCAAATGCAGTATTATGGGTACCGTCTATCAATTCGTGACGAGCTTAATCCATTTCTGTGTGCAGGAAAGCTGACTCAGCAATACTTTGTAGATGCCTACGTAAAAACTGAAGCAAATAGATTAAATTTCTGCCGACAAAACCAGGGTACTTTACGGGCTGAACAATATGCTGGCCTAATGGATTATATACAAACTGCGGCCAACGAACAAGGGCTAATACCTGGAAGAGCGGTAATATTACCTTCTTCTTTCATCGGAAGCCCAAGAAATATGGCACAAAATTACCAAGATGCTATGGCAATTGTCAGGAAATTTGGAAAGCCCGACTTTTTTGTAACTATGACATGCAATCCAAAATGGCCCGAAATAACAGATAACCTTCAATATGGCCAAAAAGCTGAATTTAGGCCCGATTTAATAGCACGAGTGTTTAACCTAAAGCTAAGAGAATTATTGGACGATATTTCCAAGAAACATATACTTGGAATTTTAACAGCAAAGGTTCATGTAATTGAATTTCAAAAGAGGGGTCTTCCGCATGCCCACATTCTTTTAATGGTTAAAAATGACGGCCCTGTGGATGCCGAAAAACTTAATCAGCTTATATCCGCTGAAATCCCAGATATTAATGACTATCCTCGATTACATGCAATTGTAACAAAGCATATGGTACATGGCCCCTGTGGTGCTGCAAATATAAACTCACCATGTACGGGACCTGACGGGAAATGTACAAAAGAATTTCCAAAGCCTTTTCAAAATGAAACTTTGGTAAACTGCGATGGTTATCCAAAATATCGTAGACGAAATTCTGGCCAAACTGATGTAAATGGCAGACAGATTGACAATTCCTGGATTGTCCCCTATAATCCATACATGAGCTTGAAATATAATTGTCACATTAATGTAGAAAGCTGTGCATCTGTAAAAAGTGTCAAGTACCTTTTCAAATACGTGTATAAAGGACATGACTGTGCAAATATTGCTATCTCTGAACAAGACGTCGTTAATCATGATGAAATTAAAACTTTTATGGACTCAAGGTACGTAAGTGCTCCAGAAGCTGCTTGGCGACTTTTTGGGAATTCTATGCATGAGCAGTCACATACAATTTATAGACTGCCCGTACATCTTCCGAATGAACAAAATGTGTATTTCAAAGCAAATAATGTGGAAGCTGCCGCTGAAAGAGCCGCAACAAAAGAAACAATGCTTACGTCTTGGTTCAAATTAAACGATACAGATGAAGATGCAAGGCCTCATTTATATGCCGATATACCCGAGCATTATGTTTTTAACAAAGTAAGTGGAGTCTGGACACCACGTAAGAAAAACACAAATAATACAATCGGTAGAATGTACCCTGTTAATTTATCTACCGACGCAGAAAAATATTGCTTAAGACTATTGTTGCTCCATAAGCGAGGGGCTACTTCCTTTGAAGACCTTAGAACCGTGGATAACATAATCTATCCAACATTTAAAGAAGCTGCCCAAAAATATGGCATATTTAGTGATGATGCTACTTGGGACTTGGCATTAACTGATGCTGCAATTTGGAAAATGCCTCGGCAAATGAGAGACTTATTTGCATATATATGCGTGTTTGCAGTTCCTCCTAACGCTTTGGAACTGTTTGAAAAATACAAATCCGATTTATATGAAGATTTTGCACGAAATCAAAGGCATAATCACACACAGAATTGTCCACATTGCACAAATCTTGCTTTAGTAGAAATTCAAGCAATTCTAATCTTGAACTACAAGAAATGCGAAGACTTTGGCTTGCCCTCTCCACCAGCTAACATGCGTGCGGCTTCAGAAGAATATTTTGATGTACTTGCAGAGAAACAAAAAGGTGACGCATTGCAAGATACTCTTAACTGTGAACAACGAAATGCTTTCGATACAGTATTAAATGCTGCCGAAAATGACAACCTTCCGCACAGAATATTCTTTATGGATGGAGTTGGTGGAAGCGGGAAAACACATGTCTACAAGACCATACTTTCGACAGTGCGTGGCGAAGGAAATATTGCATTACCTATGGCATCAACCGGAATTGCAGCCAATTTGCTTGATGGTGGACGAACTTACCATTCGCAGTTTAAATTCCGCATACCTATAGATGACACAACAACATCGCCAATTCGATCTAAATCAGCAGATGCTGAGTTATTTCGACAAGCAAAATTGCTTATCTGGGATGAAGCTACAATGGCCCCAAGTTTTGCATTAGTAGCAGTAGACAGATTTCTCAAAGAAGTCATGAATAATCAAAAGCCACTTGGTGGTAAAGTTCTCTTATTAGGAGGTGACTTTAGACAAACTTTACCTGTAGTTCCCCATGCAAGTAGATCTGCCATTGTAGAAGCGAGTTTGAAATTTAACAGCTTATGGCGAAGAGTCAAAATTCTACACTTACTTAGTAATGTTAGGTCTGTAGACAAAAGCTATAGTGATTGGCTACTAAAATTGGGAGATGGCACATTAGAAACTCCTCTTGGCCTCCCTAAGGATACAATTGAAATCCCAGAACAACTTATTTGTCGGGAGTCAATAATTTCTGAAATATACGGAGAACGTCTTACTGTTGCCAATGTTGCCAACTTTTCAAAAATGGCAATTTTGTGTCCAAAAAACACGGACGTTGACAAAATAAATGAAGAAATTTTAAATATTCTTGAAGGAAATTCGGTAACTTATTTCAGTACTGATTCTGTGGATGATGGAAATGCAGAGGATAAACAACATTATCCTGTTGAATTCCTAAACGGTTTAACGCCATCTGGAATGCCTGTTCACAAGTTAAATCTTAAAAAGGGCAGCAATATTATGCTCCTTAGAAATTTAAATACCAAGCGAGGACTATGTAATGGCACCCGTCTAATTATTGAAGACTTGAAGCCCAATTTAATAATTGCAAAAGTGCTTACAGGGTCTGCACAGCAACAAATTGTATTCATTCCAAGAATTGATTTGTCCACTGCAAATGCAGATTTGCCATTCGTTTTACGAAGAAGGCAGTTCCCAATTAAATTGGCATTTGCAATGACAATTAATAAGTCTCAAGGGCAAACTTTAGACAAGGTCGGAGTATATCTACCTGAGCCAGTTTTTAGCCATGGACAGTTATATGTTGCATTGTCAAGAGTGCGACGCTTTGCAGATGCAAAAATTAAGATAATAGACGGCCCAGAACAAGGAAAACTGATTGAGGGCTCAGACAGAGTTTTTACTAAAAATGTGGTCTACGAAGAAATATTTTCGAAGCAATTAGACCCGGATGGTCAATAATTTTAGTTAATTTGAGCTAGCGGTGGCTCAGACAAATGTACCGTCCGTGCTTTCTTAATAAAATTAAGAAAGCCAGTGGGGCAGCATGCAGAAGGGGGTCCACGTCCCCTGCCCTGGGAGGATATGAAATCTTGCAAACGCTTCTGCAAAAATTATTTGTCAGAAAATTGACCGACAAGAAAGGCGCTTTATATATGTAGATACATTCTAGGACCCGTCCTTGGACGGGCTTTTCGCTAGTATATTTATAATTATGTACATTTGCAGAACTACGGCTATTATTCTAATCAGTACCAAGGACAGAAGATGTACTACATTAACTCGGAGAGAGAGCTGGCTAACTTGTACCAAAATTCAGATGCCGATTTGGTGAAGATGCTATACAAAGCTGTCCGAGGGGACCCCATCTTCTGTTCCGACACTGACTGCAAGTGTGAGGCATACTTTCATTATGATCTCGAGAAAGTTACCAAAGTTGACTTCCAACTGGCTGCGGGACAGGTGAGCAAGTCGCCACCACCCCCCTTGCCTCGACAAAGACCACGCCCATCCAACCCGACGGCAATTCAAATCGAAGTAGATCGTCTGTTCCGTACCTTGAAGGAAGAGATGGGACTTGTTCTCGCCATCCCCTTCAACGTCTACTCAGTCCTCCTCGTTAAAAAGGCAGATTTCCCCGGCTTATCAGACCCCCGTGCCGTAATCAACGCACTACTGGGGACAACGAGAGAAATTGTGGCTTGGCTCTACACTGGTAAAGGGGTTGAGGCAGAAGATGGGGGGATCCATCAACACCACTTTTATGGATTCAGTACAATTAAGAACGAATTGGCCAATGGTGACAAAATTGCCATACAGATCGCCAGGATGAGGTGTAAGTCCCAGCAGGATGCGGAAGAGAAAGAGGCGTTTGTTTTGGTGAGCTACATATATACATTACATACTTTCACATGTATGTACATTTATGCATGTATGTAAATATAAATTATTATATTTACAGTATGCATCTCAACTTTCTGCACTTTCGGAAGAAGGATGAAGGAAATGTTAGACTTGTCCCAATAAACGTGAGAATGGAGTGGGTGGCATGGCGACGATTGGCGTATGACACACGTAAATTGGCACAGGAGTGTGGCGATAAGGGGATCAAACCGTACTCTTTTGACGACAAGGAAGAGAAGCCCATTTTTGAGGAGGGTGAGTTCCACTACCCTGTCAATCTCCAACGACAGTTAGACAGGAACGAGATCAACGTTGTGAAGTTGTAGACTAGAAGTTGATTTTTTTGTTATATTTTTTAAATGAATTACCAATATGTTTTTGTACCTTTCCGGTTTTTTTTACCCAGTGCTACTATTTTATTTCTAATGAGTTGTTTTTTTATACCGGATTATACAAAATAAATCATAAGTAACATGTCGCTTAGTATACCAATGCATATATGCTTTACTTACTTGGGGCACCTATGCGCCTTCGCATCCGGGTTAACCAGCGTCACATATGGCAGCGTTGGACCCAGCGCGTCACTCTTGAAATATTGAAAATATTCTTGAAAATATTGAAAATATTCTTGAAATAATAATAATTAATAAAAATGTCACCTTGAAGCAATCCGAGTCTTCCATTCCGTGATCAGATTTTCTCAACATTTGCACTTCCGTTACATGATTGTCCCTCCGATAGATGTGCATGCAAATCGACTCGCTTTTGCTGCATAGGGAAAAAAACAAGGCTTAAAGAGCTGTTATAAGCCACTCCTCGGCCATGAAAATAATAATTCCGCACTCAAACCACGACTGGTTGGTTGGTTGGTTGATAAGGATTAGAAATTATGGTTTGTTAGTAAGTAGAGATTTTGTTCCGCAAAGAAAAATCCAATAAAATAGCCTTGGCTCGTGTGCGAGTGTCTGTGTAGCAAGTCGCAGCCTTGGCTTATCTATTAAAAGCCACATCACATCCCAAAAGAAGCGTAAAAAATATTTTGACAATCACAGCTCGAGCAACTTTTCCACCACAAAAACGTTCCCCTCCTCTCAAACTTTCTCTTCCTGTTCGATCATCATATTTATATCCAATCCATAAAGATTATAGTTATATCAATCCACCAACCAACCAACCGACCAGCCGACAGACCAAGCACCCAAGGAAATCTGGAGTATCACTATCTTACCATCCTTCCGTGTGATGGGCAACAATGGCCACATGACGGTCGGATATGTCTTTACGGTCTTGGCAAACAATTCTCGTCCCACCACCTGCAAATACAATTGTAAAAAAATGCGTTTAGATTTATTTTTCGTCAGCAAACGTCCAGAAAAAAACGCTTTTAAATTTTGAAAATCTAAATTCATAGGTCAATCTCCAAAGGATTGGGGCCACATTTTTTCTACTTATCCCGCTGTAATTCGACCTCACAAATAAGAATCTGGCAGATTACAGCAAACGCCTAGAAAACTCGTTCAAATTTTGAAAATCTAAATTCATTCACTGCTCCACAAAACCACCAGAAAAACGCTTGTAAATTTTGAAAATCAAACTTCACATCACTTAATTTTTCTACTCATGCCACATCTCTGTAAGTCGAACTAATACATAAAAATCTATCCCATTTTTCTCTCCCAAAATATTATCCGTCTTACTGAAAAGAGGTCCGCCACCAGCCCCGCTAACACTTCCAAACCCAGTGAAAGTTCCGGTATGTGTCGCGGAGGAGGAAGAATGGCCGGAATACTGGCCGGATGATGAGTTCCTTCTGCTATCTTCCGTGATGTGCATCGTTGAATTTCTGTGGTGCAGCTTGGCTGACATTTTTCCATCCAGCGTGTGCCAATGATGGGAGGACATCCAAGGTGGAAATGTGCACTTTACAAGCTCCTTCTCCACCACTGGAAAAGAAAGGGACAAAAATTATAATTAAAATCAGTCGCATCATTGTCGTCGGCATGATCAAGGTCGCGCAGTGCAGCAGCAGTAAATAGGTAGCAGTTGGTGGGTGGGTGGGGGACACATGTGCAGAATATCTAGTAGATTTTTCAGGATAACCTTGTCCCACGTTCTGACTTTCTCTTTTTTTCTCAGGGTGAAGGTCTATCTTTGTCCTTCGTAAGTGACATAATACCTAAACCAGGATGAGACTCCTTTGTAAGCATGACCTGTCCGGAATGAAATAGTATTTCGGCAGACGCCCTGGCCAGAAATAAAGTGAGCATTTCCAAATCCCGGGATTAATACCAAAAATTCCCAGAAGAAGTTGCTTCATTTCCTTTCTTTCTCTCCTTCACTCATGGAATCTTAAGGCTTCCGGATCTTTATTATTACTCACAGCTCATACGTACAAGCCTTATAAACGTATACTTTCTCCTTCACTCTGGGTCTACTGCAAGTCGTCTCAAAAATCCCCTCCCCCCCCTCAAGAACCAATCTCTTAATGAGAGTGCATTCCCACCCAGGAGCCCCATTTCTACCCCGATACGGATCACTCCAGAGGGACACCTTTACTTTTACGGTATGCAGCTACCCTTCCATCGAGAGAGGCACCAAATTTTCCCATGCGTATCATATCTATTTTCCTTCCTGGTCAAGTCCTAAGTATGTGCTGCACATATTTCCTCCTTCGTCAGATTGCATATAAATACCTACCTTTCGTGAGGACGAGAGCCCTCGCACCCTCGGTCGCACTAGAAACGCCGGTGCAGGTCGCATCTCCCGAAATCGCCACGTTGTATCCGTTATGACCCGTCTTTGTCTTTTCAAAGATGAAGCAGCGGTAGGCCTCCTCGTTGGTGCTGGTCCTCCCAAAAAGCCGCAACCTGCCCAGCCCGTAGTTCATGCTGCCGTCCTTCCACACGCCCAGACAGGTCAGTTCCTCCACTGAAAAAGGACAGAATACAGGTTTACAATTAAAAATTATGGTCATTAAATTAATTCATATTTTGCGGTGTGAGTATTGCGTGCTTCTTCACCCTGTCGCATTATTGAGCTTAATTACTGACATGCACATTTATCCAGCCGACCAATGAAACCACGAAGTAAACACAAAGACACTCGCACATTTGGGTCTCTCATCTTATTCATTGTGTGGATTAATTAACGCACTATTTAAATAACTTGCTTGCTCGCTGCAATTATTTCCCACACGGCAGAATGCATCTCATGATAACTGGCTGAGAGAGAATGCAGAAGAAGATTCACTTATTCATTCACTTCGTGCTTTCTCCCTCGTTCATCATATTTTCCTGTCGGGCTTTTGGTGTGCCACTGCACGAACGAGATAATTAATTAGGAGATGAGAGCAGCCTGCATAAAATGAGGGTTGCATTGCATTCGGTGGTTGGTGGTGGACTCACCCCCTTCATTACTTATCACGCTGTCATCCCTGTGTCGGGTTTATACATGGAAATGAGCAGTGCATGCATACTACTCGCCCCATTATTCAAGAGGTGAATTAAACCAGTAATTAATTTACTTGTCCCCAACGTGGGCTTATCGTTAGAAGAAGGAAAAATATAAATATTGTGCGGTTTGGTTATTGTGCATCAATCATGGTTATGATTCATTCCGTGCATCGGCATGATCTAATCTTTTTTTCCGCCAGTGTTTCGTTTATTGTGAGTTTGCTACATTTCTTACAGTTTTAAAGCAAGAAACGCAAGAAATGCGAGGTGCACGAAACTGCAAGAAATATGTGCCATTTAGCCAAGCGCCGTATGAAGTATAGCGGCGGGGCGTCGTTTCTTGCACTCTGGATTTCTTACAGGTCTCTGCAAGAAACCACTTTCTTGTCCTTATTTCTTGCAAGTGGTTACTTGTACCCGAAACAAGAAACACTGCTATCCGCAATCATTATTTTAATTTAATTTATCGGGTAAAATATGGATTAAACGTAACACCACAACTATTTCACATGACATTCAAATGCATATTGGTACCTGTGCTTTCCGTTTTCATAATGTCAGGACAGGATTCATATCGCAATCGGAGTCGAGACGGTTCAGTGCACGTGTCGATGTACGAGACGGGATTTTTACACTCGCCGTGACCCCGATTGTACGTGAAAGTGTAAGGCGCACCCCTGCAAAAAAATAACATTATATTAAATTACATATTTATCACAAATTAATTGCACTAATTTTAATTGGGCACATACTTGAAGGGGCAGTCCTCTGGTTGAGCATCAATACGAAAGAGCGAGTAAAGGGTGGCATCTCCAGGAATGAGCATACACAAATGATCCAAACTGTCCCTGTTGTCTTCACAATCTGGGCCTGAAATCATCCCCAAAATCAAAACATTTAGTCCTGTAAGAAAACTACTAATTGTCTGAGAACAATAAATTGGTCCAGTTTCTCTCTCACGGAGAAATAAATACGAAAAGAAAAATCACGTCAATCAAACCTGACATGATTTAACTGGAACGTATCTCAGACTGCAATCTTTCGTAGTAATAATAATGCAGCAGCAAAACCTGACTAATCAATCATTCATCACATTAAAATGCAAGACCGGTAGCTGAAACATTTAACGCTCATTTTTACCACAACTGCTCCTCCCGAGCTGCTCACTCACTCACTAATTTACATTTCACCGATCTTTTACCTACATACGCTAGAAAAATCAGATTGTTAAATCTTCCAACAAGTTTTTTTTTGCAGTCAAAACAGCGTCAAAATCGACTCAAGAATATGACATGTGGCTGTCACTCAATCCAAATCTATGTTTTATGCAAAATCTGACATTCAAGTGAAATCGAAACCCTTACGCTGCGCATCTTAACTAAATTACGCATTACACGCACAATTATAATTTTTTGTCTTCTATTATTCTGCACCAATTTGTATTCAAAACACTTCCTAACTCAGCTTAATCTTGGGTTTGGTTGGTGTCGGGAAACAAATTACACGTCAATTACTCCAAAAATGGGCAAATAATGAGCTGCTCTAAATAAATAAGGAAAAAAATAATTCTTAATACGTACTTTCTTTGTATTGCAGCACGTTGGAGGATTGCTGGTTAGAATTTTGTCGGGATTGTATCACCAAACAGCGGTAACAGTTGGTTGCTCTGTAATGGTAAAAAAATACACAAATATTTAGACAACATATTTTAAATATTAGGATTATGTACATTTCAAGCTTCACAATTCAATTGTTTGCTGGCTGGGATTATTTCCTATGTATTTAACGAGAAACTATTTACATATATTTCCCAAAAAAGGAAACAGCTTAAAGTTCCATGATACGAATTCCGTATGCATAAATCCATCAAAAAGTCTGTGCTCAACGAAATCCTGGAGCACAAGAAAAATGCAAGGGTGGGCCCCTAGCGAAACGAAATTTCATTTAATTTTGACAAGAAGACAAGAGTCGAAAAAGCCATTTCCTTCGTTTTTGATGGTCCTGGTGTGGTGCTAATAAACCTCATTTTTGTTTTATATCATCATCATCCAATGAAAGTCTAATTTTTGAGATGAAGCCCAAAATGCCTTACGTTACTTACGTCGTAAAAGAAGGGAAAAGCTAAACTTTCAATTTAAGGAAACAGTGGGGAGTCGCGAGTCTCATTTTGTTTCATTTTTCTCCTCGATGTTGACGTCCATGTGATAAGTAATGAGCACCTCACGTCACGTGGTGATTCACACTTTGGTACTTATTTATTATTCTCTTAGTAAGTTGTGATCCAGTTCGTGTTGTGGAAAACGAGTACAAAATATTAAATGAGCAAAATGCATGTAATAACTGAACGCCGATTTGTGTAAAAGTCATAAAATTCGATTATCCAGAATAATAAAAAGATTAAATCTTTTCAGGTACGTGCAGAATTTGTGCAAAATTAATTTTCTTCAACCCAACACTTTCGTTTAATTATTAAAATTCTTGCGACTTGAATCACCAGAAAAATAACGTATGGTCGTGAATACCTAGCGCATAATACAGATAGGTACATGATTTAAATGATTTGCAATCCAACACCATTCCAATGAGTAATCCAAGTAATTTCATCAGCATCTGATGCTGATGATAGGTGAAGGAAGGGCTTAAATATGTACAAGTACATCCTTTTAGACTTGAATTGATTTACTGAACTCGCGCATTGAACAGGTTAAAAAATCATGTAATTTTACTTTTAATGGACTCAAATAGGCTTGGTGACTCATGGATGGAGCAAATCGTCATGAGTAATCATTTCTTGTCTGCTGCATATTGTTACACAGTGACTCATGCAGGATAAATTTTGAAAAAGTCAGTGTTTCAGGTGCAACTGCAAGAAATAACGGGAAGAAATTGGTTTCTTGCAGGTATTTGGACCTGCAAGAAATGCAAGATGCAAGAAACTACGCAGCTACACTTAATACGACACGTATTTCTTGCACTTTCTCACAGTTTCTTGCACCTCGCATTTCTTGCGTTTCTCGCTTTGCAGTGCAAGAAATGTTAAAAATCCCGCAAGAAACGAAACACTGAAAAATATGTGGCACAGCAAATCCAAAATTTATAGCGACATTTAGCCCAAAATCATCCGAAATCCTGTTAAACCTGACAGTCCATTAGTTAAAATGGGCAAAATAAGAGTCAGACTTTATCCAACATGATGTCAAACTGAATATTTGCATCGTTCCGACTTTAAGCTGATTTCCCAACAAAATGTAAGACTTGGAGGAAAGTCAAAAGTCCCATTATCCGGATCAAACATGAAGAAATGGGAGCAAGCACTTTCACTTCCTTCCTGTCGTCCGTCGTTAAACATAATCTTCATGTTTACTCAATTTTTTTATACTCGAAATTTTGAAATCTTGTCAAACATCATAACGTTAAAATATAAATTGCTGGGTGGGCGTATACGTACATACTTTAAATAATAAATACGTCAAACGAATACTTTATACAATGTCATAATTTCGTCAATTTCATTTACATCAGAATTCCAGCAATCTCTAAAAAAACGAGAAATGCACTAAAAACAGACGACGGGTGAGTCATCATATCTAAAAAAATCTGTGCCCTATCACAAAATCACTTATAAAAACATAATCTTCCTATTTACTCAATTTTTTTGTCCTAAATTTTGAAATCTTGTCAAACAACGTTAAAATATAAATTTCTGGGTGGACGTATCCTCTAAATAACGAATACTTTATAAAATGCCATAATTTCGTCATTGTCATTTATGCCAGGATTCCATCAACCCCTAAAAAACGAAGAAATGCACTAAAACAGACGAAACGAGTGTGTTGTGTCATCACATCTCAAAAAAATCTGTGCCGCATCAAAACATCACTTATTAGATCCACTTTCTCCTCCTCGTCTCGTGAGCCCGTGTATTCAAAGACTGAGGCGAGACGGGCGTCGTAATGGTGGACAAATCTCGAGGGAAAAGTTGTCACATCATCATCACATAACACCACATTTCTCCGTAATGGGATGAGAAAAGTAAGCAGCAACAACACGGCGGCGGCGGAGTAAACACGGAAAATGCAATGTTTGACATAAGTAAAGTAAGTAAACGAGATTTTCAGAAACGAAAAGCCAAGCCAGCCATAAAATGCTGAAAGCATGGCGGCTCAAATTTATAAATCTCGGAATAGCCCGCCCTCCGGGTGAAGGTAGAAATAAATTTAATAAAACCCATCAGCACAACGTTATACGCGATGCGGTGATGATTATTATGGAGCCGCCACATCGCTCTCCAAATTTTGGTGAAAGTTACACCAGCAGCAGCAGCAGCACACCATTAAAAGTCCAGACCAGACGAGTCGGATCTTCTAATAATGTCAACCTAGTTGTGAAAGTGATTTTTCAACCGACCACGTCACAAGTCACCACGATGGGAAGGTAAACAGTCAAATTTCACTTTGGGAAATGAGTTTGACTAAACTCTCGCAATTCCATGTCTGGCAAAAAGTCGGCATCATCTGCATCATCACGAGGAGCATAAGCATAACAATAAAGTTTAGAGAGAAGAGAGGAAAAAGTCTCTCATCAGCAGCATTTCACAGACAAAATGTCACTCTCACCCCGACACAAGTTGGTGGGGACGTGGTATAGGTATTCAAAAATGGAGGTCTCCCGGCGTACGCTCGCAGATTTTGAGCAAACTAGTGCCAATTAATAACAAATTTAAGTAATATGAAATTTGCATAAGTCACGATCTCCAAATAGTCACGTTTAGCAGAGATATTTGTATTCAAAGAGGAGAAAACGCGCAGTAAATTGTGAAAGTGTAAAATTTGTCGTCTTTAAGACACGTTTTCTTCTCTTTGGATGCAAGTATCTCTCGCGAACGTGACCATTGGGAGATCGTGCCTTATGCAAATTTCATATTACTTAAATTGACACTAGTTTGCTCAAAATCTGGGAGCATACGCTGGGACACCTCCATCCTAAGTGGCGAGACAAGTTTCTCCCTTTTGACGACAAAGAGTGTCACATTATTACTCTGAATATTTTAGTATTCATCCCGTAATTGACATTTACTTTTATCCCGGCTTTCTCTCTCAAATTATGAAGTTTTTTGAGGCAAGAAAAATCTGGATTTATGAAACCGCGACCGACGACAAACATTTTCTCCTTCATTACGTCCATTTCCAAACTGTGATTATTACTCAGGTCTGCCTGCCAAATGAGGCATTTCATCGCTTTCACCTTTTTCCCCGCTTAACATTTTCTTCTCTTCGAACGTAGGAAAGAAAGCAATTTGTAGATTTGGTTGCTTTGCGAGGAGAGGGAAAGTGGAGTCGGTAAATCAGCCACCGCACAACCCCCACGAACCAAACCACCACCGGCAGCCATCTCACCTTTCTTCGTCTTATGTCAGAGAGGAGTCAAAGCCATTGGATGTCGTGCTGGTTATTTAATTTACCAAGTGACAAATCCGCAGCTCCAGCCAAATCCAACCTCATTTACAAATGGCTTCTTCTTCATCCACTGAGAAATCCAAATCCACTCGCACCCGTGATTGCTTCCTCAAAAAAGGGGAGGTAAGGCAATTCACTTTTTAATTCTCCATAATTTTCTGTTCAGGAAATTTTCAAAATTTCAATCATATTTAGTCTTTCTCCCTATTTTATGTATCCAGTTGTCATCTTATCGAACATAGTTTCACATTATAATTTTTCATAATTTTCTGCACATGAAATTCCAAAATTTCCAAAATATTTTAAATCTTTGTCCCTAATTTATGTACTCACAATGGAGATCTCCCAACGTATGCTCACAGATTTGGACCAAACTAGCATCAATCGATCAGAAATATAATTAGTATGAAATTTGCAAATGGAACTATCTGCCAATGCGCAGGTTTGGCGGAGATATTTGCATTCAAAGCGGGAAAAATGGGTAGCAAATTGGAAAATGAATAATTTGCCCGCCCTGGGGGTGCGTTTTCTCCTCTTTTTATGCAAATATCTCCGCCAAACATGCGCATTGGCAGATAGTTCCATCTGCAAATTTCATACTAATTATATTTGTGATCGATTGACGCTAGTTTGGTACAAATCTGTGAGCATACGTTGGGAGACCTCCATTGTCAGTTGTCACTTTCTGGTAACTTCACATTATAATTTTCCATAATTTCCTTTACATAAAATTTCTCATAATTTCAAAAATATTCTAAATCTCTTTCCCTACCCAGTTGTCACCTTATCTTAGGCCGTGGTGGTTGGGGAGTGATGGAGAAAGTGATGGGCAAAGTGAAAAAGAAAATCCAAGGTGGCAGTATTACTTTCTCCAGGAGCAGCAGCAGTCAAAATAATCCTGCTTACGCTTTCTCCTCTCTTTCTCCCCTCCTCTGCTTATTTATACCACGATCCACCACCTTCATCTCACCATTACATCGCATCATCCTCACCACCACCACCAAGCAGCTCACCATACACTTAACCAAATTACCTGGTAACTTTCACGAGAAATAAATCCTGGCCTTGTCAACAATAAAATATCATCAGGACCCCACCACCACTAGCACACACTCCTTGAGGAGAGGTGGGTGGGTTCGTCGCCCCTTCCGCATAATCAGCCCTGATGCAAAGTGATTGTGATGGTTTCAACGTAAAGAAGGTGCTTAAA